TCTTACGATCCATTATAACAATCAATAATTCAGTTAAATCAAGCATAATTTTATAATTGCTACCACCATCAGTTTCAAAACATTTTCTTTCTTCTTGAACTCTGATATCATCACCCTTTTATCCCCTCCCTCTCACCCTACCTGCCCCCCCCCAGGAACCCTTATTATTATATTATTTATAATTATAATAAATCACTTAAGGGGGGTCTCTTACATATAATAGTCTATACATCCATTATACTAAGTGGATATGTACAAATATTGTCATCAGCAATTTCAAAACATTATCTTTCTTTGTGAACCCCTGATATCAGTTCCTCTTTTGTCCATCCCCCCCCCGCCCTGCCACCTTGCGGAACCCTTAGTGTGTTATGTGTTGTATTTTTGGTGTATCTTATACCATCCGTTGTGTCCGTTCACCTTCAATTCTGTCATTTGTCCCCTCTATCAGCTCCCCTTCCCGTACCAAGGAATCATTACTCCCATTACCATGTCTCGGCTTTCATGCATCTGACACTTATAACTACACAAATGAACATTTACAGGCCTAACAAGCTGAATGAGGTAAAACAAAGACCATGACAGTGAGGGAGGAAATATTACAGAACTAGAGGATAGGTGTGTGTTTCATCAGTGCTATACTGCACCCTGGATTTATCATCCCTTTCCAGGGACTGTCAAACTATCTTACAGGTGGGCTTTGGGTCTCCACTTTGTCCACGCTCCTTTGTGTCACTTTGATGACTTATTTTTGAACTTCTGATACCTCTTTCCCATCGACACCTCATGATAACACAGGCTGGCGTGCTTATTCCATGTGGGCTTTGCTGCTTCCCTACTAGATGGCTGTTTGTTTAACTTTAAGCCTTTAAAACCCCAGATGCTTTAGCTTTTAATAGCTGGGCACCATCAGCTTTCTTCGCCACATTTGCTTATGCACCCATTTTGACTTCAGCAATCATGCTAGGAAGGTGGGCATCATAGACTGTCAGGTTATTCAAACAAACCATTTTTGTTTTTTAAAGATTATTTTACTGGGGGCTCTTACAGTTCTTATAACAATCCATACATCAATTGTATCAAGCCTATCTATTTATGTTGCCATCATTATTTTCTAAACATTTACTTTCTATTAGAGCCCTTGGTACCAGCCCCCACCCCGCCCCCGCCCCCACCCCAACAAAGTTTTTGTAGTGAGGTTAAGATTTAAGTAGAGGCCCAAGTCCATCTGCTTCCTTGTATACATATATAAACAAATACCCCTGTCTTTATATATTTACATATCTATACTTATAACTATATATGCTTTACTTTCTTCTTCTTTGCTCCTTTCTTTTCCTTCCTCCTGCCCCACTAACATATTTACCCATCTTTCACCTCAGTAATTCCTCTTGGATACATTTCAATTGATCAAACATGACCAGGCACGCTACACCCTTCTCACCATCAATTTTAGAACCCTTGCTATTCATTTCCTGTCCCTGTCGGTATTTAATACTTTAGACCTATCAGAAAAGCAAGAAAACCAGCATCACCTTAATCTTTTTATATTGTGTATCTTTAATGCTATGTAGATTCTAAGACGGAAAATAAATGTTGATGTTCAAGTTCAAGTCCACACTAAAGGATTTGGCTTCTGTGCTGTAACAGAAACCTCTCAGTGTGGAGACTGAGTGTATCACTGTGACTGGGGACATACCGTATCTACCACAGGAGGGTCAGATTGCTGACAAGGTCACGAACTCCTCTCTGCTTGTGTGTGAAAAGGACTCGGGGACAGCAGCCTGTTGGGGGCGGTGTGTGTGTGTGTGTGTGTGTGTGTGTGTGTGTGTGTAGGAAGTAGAGGTCTTCTGTCAGCCGTTTCATACGGGCCACGGTGCATTTCTAATACTAGCAGCTCATAGCTAAAACCTAAGCTAAAACTTTCTCTTTGGATAAACAGCGATCGATCATGGTTTTGTCCTACTTGTACTTACTCGGACGGCACAGAACAGCAGAGTTTCTTCCAGCAGACCAGGCTTACATGCTTTAGAACGACCCTGAACATACACATCCTGCCTGGCACACGGAGCTCAGTGCTCTGTGGAGCTGCAGGCATGGGGGCACGGAAGAGCCCGTTCCAGGAAACAAACTAATGTATGAAATGGCTGCACAAATCTGCAGGGTTCCAAAATGTGAAAACAATATAGGGGAAAAAATCCCTTTCAGCCAGCAGAGCCAGCTGCAGGGCAGAACATGGCGAGGGCTGCAGTCCTGCCTAGGAGTGAGCTGGGGGGCAGGCGGGCAGCCCTGCAAGAAGCACAGTCCTAACACTCTCCTCAGATTTAGGGCAAGCAAAGGAAGACAGAAAGTATACGAATTCCAGACTTTTCACTGAGGCAAAATGGCAAACAGGACCCTTCAAAGACATTCCGAAATGGACATAAGCAAGATTTGGAAGGTGCGTGAACCCAACTCTTCATATATATAGTTTTAAAATTTTTTAAATGGGGAAGAAGGGATTTGTTGATGAGGAAGGAAGTAAAATTCCACATGTGTAATGAATTTGAAGTTACTCATGATATATGCAACATGACCACCACAGTAACAAACCATCAGGGTCTCCCTGCTGATCAGGACCTGAAGGTCCTGAATTACATTTTGACAGCAACATGAAACCTCTTCCATTTCCACAACAGTTGTTAAGGGAAACAAAGCACTTTTCCTACAGCTCTACAATGAACAAACTGTTTCCTTTTGTGGCAGCTACAAAAGCCATTCCTGTGCTGACCTGGAAACTGCGTGACAAACTGTTGGCAGTATCCAGGATAACACCCTCCCCCTCCCGTTAAGTCCCGGTTATGAAGCTGTTGTTAATGCTGTCCGGTGAGTGAGTCCACAATAGGCCATGATCTGTATTCACGAAGCCTAGTAACTTCCTGGTCCCAAACACTTGGGGGTTATGTCGACACACCTGTGTACCTCAGGATTGGGGAATCAGAGGCCCCTGGGACTTAGTGGCTTAGGGCAAAAGTGAAGCAGAGTTCTGATGAAAACTCCCCAAGCGAGTGGTGCTTCTAATTACACTGCACAGCACAATGCACGCAACCACCCACCTTAGATAGAAACAAAGGCATAGGAGAGGCCAGCTGAGTAAATCTAATGTCTATTCTGAAATTCACTAACACCCTGATTGAAAAGAAGACACACAGACCTCCCTTCCTTCTGGGTCTTCCTCGCCTTAGGAAGGACAAAGCAAATGTTGGCTATGTGCCCTAAAGGGGTAAGGGCAATTTTGAACCCCACGCTTGGCGCACTAGAATTTACAGCTCAGTAACAAATAAATCACAAGATATTCTAAGATCAATAGGTAAAGGCTAATGCCTTATGAATACATATGTTTGTAAAAGGCAAGGAGGGGGGAGTGGGGAGGGAGGGGAAAAAAAGCGGACCTGATGCCAGGGGCTTAAGTGCAGAGGAAATGTTTTGAGAATGATGAGGGCAATGAATGTACAAATGTGCTCTACACAATTGCTGTATGTATGGATTGTGGTAAGAGTTGTATGAGGCCCTAATAAAACGATTTTTTAAAAAAGGAAAAAAAAAGATAGAGAAAAAGACAATATCATAGTATCAAAAGGCTGACCTTTCTAAGGCAGTGGTTCTCAACCTTCCTAATTCCATGACCCTTTAATACAGTTCCTCATGTTGTAGTGACCCCCCCAACCATAAAATTATTTTTGTTGCTACTTCATAACTGTCATTTAGCTACTGTTATGAATCGGGTAACCCCTGTGAAAAGTTTGTTCCCCCCGCCCCCCAAAGGGGTTGCGACCCACAGGTTGAGAACCACTGCTCTAAGGCCTTTGTTGAGAACACGGAGAATCCAGGAACATTAGCCTCCATTCTGAACTTGGAGCCTTTGAATTATGTAGTCAGGGGAATGGGGCCATCAAGAGCTTTAGTACAAGAAACCATTATAGTGTGGTAAAAGACCATTGTCATAGAGAGCCTGATGGTTCAACATCTCCCTCTCTCACACACATTAGGCACTCACACTGGACGTCTAGTTCACTGAGCTCCAGTCTGTGTGAGCACTAATGTGTATGCAGCAGTGTCGGGTAGGGAACCTGCCCTTGGCCGGCCCTCTTGCATGCTCACCCACACACTTACAGAGTTCATCCCACTGAACAGGTCTCCTGAGCCGACGTGGGCTGTGTGCACAAAGTTGGTTGGCTCACCGATCATACTTCGGTCAATCCGCCGTCGCCTTTTCTAAAATGAGGAACAATGAGTCGAAAAATTAATTTTGTTAATAAAATACTGATTCGGACAGATTTAAACATCATGAATGACAATTTTGTTTGGTATAATAAGTTTGTCCAGAACACAAAAAACCCTTTGCCTGGCCTGTCACAATTACCTCTTAAGACAGCGGTTCTCAACCTGTGGGTCTTGACCCCTTTGGGGGTCAAGTGACCCATTCACAGGAGTCGCCCTATTCCTAACAGTAGCAAAATGACAGTTATAAAGTAGCAACGAAAATAATTTTATGATTCAGGGGTCACCACAACATGAGGAACTGTATGAAAGGGTTGTGGCCTTAGAAGGTTGAGAACCACTATCTTATGATGAAACCCCCAATAGGAAATAGATACACACACGAAAATCACAGGTCAGTATTTGGAACTTAACATCTTATTTGATTCAGCCCAGGGCATCTACATATCTGTACAGTAACCAGTTACCCTTTGCTCTGAAAACAAAACAAACAAACAAAAAAAAATGAGTACCAGTCACCCACTATTGTTAGCAATGACTAGTGTGGCTTTGACATAACACTCTGATTGTGAGTATGCCTACCTTTCATCATTAAAAAATAGATGGAATGTGATGTAATGCCATGATTTAGAGTATCCCAGCATACTTGGCATTGCTGCGATTTTAGAGATACTGCAGTGGTTTTTCTTCTTTTCCTTTTTCACTAATTTAAAGTCTGAGGCAACCCCGCACCAAGCCTGACTACTGGTGTCATCCTCCCAACTGCACATGCTCACTTTGTGTCCCTGTGCTGCACGTGGGCAATTCTCACAATATTCCCATCTTTCTCAACAGTGCCGGTGCACACAGTGTAGCCCTCACTTTTCTCTGCACTGGGAAACCCCAATGCTCATGTGACTCATCAATTCATTAGATTTACAAGGAAGGGAACTAAACTCAATTTCTACACTTAAAAAAAAAGCCCATCTTCACACATTTGCTACCTAGCTTTGCCCAGGCACGGACCATGTAACAAGCCTGCGGCCGCCAAGTCAATTCCGACTCACAGAGGCCAGGGGGGGCGGAGATGACATGCCCCATAGGCTTCCACAGCTGTGATCTCGACAGGGGACATCTTTCTTCCACGGAGGGGCTGGTGGATGTGAACCTTGGACCTTTCCATTAGCATCTAGGCACTTCACCACCGTGCCACCAAGGCTCCTAGGCCATGTAATAGTAATAATAGCTCTCACTCAGTCACTGGGATTAATTTTATTTTTTCCTATTACTAATCCTTTAAAATTATTCCCTTTAAAAGCAATCTTCTTAATAATCCTCTTTTCAGATTTAGTGCACCTTTCATAATTGAGGAGGTAAAATGATTAGTTCTGGAGCCCTGGAGGTGTGGGGGCTGCGTGCTGGGCTGCCACTCGCCAAGGTCAGCAGCTTGAAACCACCAGCTGGTCCACGGGTCAAAGACGAGGCTTTCTCCTCCCACAAGACTTAAGTCTGGAAAACCCAAACCCACAGGGCAGTTCTACCCTGCCTCTGACTGGGAACCAACTCCATTTCAGTGAGTTTACGGTTTTTGCTCAATGAGGCACACATTCAAGAGTAGACGTTTTTATCTGAGTATGGCTTTATTCTTCAGCCTGGAGGTTTTCCTCGAAAAGTTCTCTAGTTTCCATAATATAAAAGCAATACAATTTGCAACTCTTCAGCCCTACCACGGTCGTGTGAAAAGTCACACACATCACCCAGCGAACGCAGATTCTGCTTTCCAAAGCAGTAATCATTGCCCCTACTTTGTACAACAGAGTTAATTGGCAGATGTTTTGTTACATATTTCAAAAAGTATAAGCAGGCCTCAAAAGTTCACGGAAAGAGACAAAGAGAAAGAAATGAAGACACGGAATTTTTCCATGAACTGTTTGAAGCCCCTCAGTATGAAAACACAAGCAAACAAACAGATGGCAGGCTGGATGTGGGCCAGCAGCACTACAGAATTTCACCAGTCAATTTTGCCTGTGTTTCAGGGCTCTTGCTTGTTATCAGTTCATGTGGCAACATTATTACAGGTTGTTGTTTTTTCCCTTAAATGTGCTTCATATATGAATGATAATCTATAGCCCCAAGGAACGACTATCCCTACGTTACTTCAGGCCCTTCCTGAAAGAATGGCCAATCCCATGTCTTCCGGGGAAATCCTGCCATAAGGATGCTGTTGGGCAGCCCAGTGAGGGCCTAGATCTGCCGTGGTCTCCGACCTCCCTGCTTTGTGTGCATGTGCTGGCTCCCGGCTACTGCTTCTTCCATGTGGCGATGTCAGGTGCTCTTGAAGGTGCTACAGGCCAAGGGGTCCGTAACTGCAGACTCGCAGCTCACCCCACCCAAACCCCACAGTCATCCAGTCAAGTACCACCCATAGCCACCACAACCCAAGATGGGCTTTCCAAGGCTACTAAACCTTCATGGGAGCAGAGACCCGTCTTTCTCCTGTGAAGCGGCTGGGATGTTTGAACTGATGACCTTTCAGTTCGTACCCAACGTTTATCCCAAAGCAACACATGGGTGGTCCTTTAGTCCAGGAGGCTGCGTGCAGGGGTGCAGCACCCGTCTCCTTCCATCCTGCTCCCCACCTCCCCCACACTTTCAGTCCGTCTGCTTCCACCTATGCGGCTCAGCACACTTCCCTTTCCACGCTCTTTGCTTCTGGGATGACAGAGCACACTTCCCTCATCGAGCTCTAAGAAGCAACCCTAGATTCTCTTTTCTAGGATTAAGGTCGGCCAAGGAGATGCCAGTAGTTGTTATGTCTTTTTTTCCCTCCCTAGTTACAGATGATTATATTTCCTTTAAACTTCTCTCATGAGGAGGCTAATTTGCTCAGACACAATTCTATCTTCACCAAAACCAAATTCACTGCCATCAAATTGATTTTAACTCATTGCGAGCCTGTCAGGCACGGTAGAACTACCCTGGTGGGTTTCTGAGACTGTAACTCTATGGGAATTGAGAGCCTCTCAGAACGGCTGATGGTTTAGAACTGCTGACCTGTGGCTAGCAGCCCAATGCATAAACACTATGCCACTAGGGCTCCTGCTCCATCACCAGCTGTTGTGGATTTTCTCAGCACCCAGGCAGAACTGACTGCTGGGACTCTTTCCTTAGCAAACTACCGACTGGAGGGCAGGCAAGGAGGGTTCTAGGTAGGTGGCACATTCCAGATAGGACAGGAAAGAGTAGCTCTTGGTTAAGTCAAAAGGAGAGCAGGTACGTTTCACAGGGTGGTGGCACCTGCAGGGGCAACAGCATCTGATGGGCAGAGAGAAGAGCACTTTCTGAGCAAGCCCTGGAAGGGCTGGTGTACTGTCTCCATCCTCCCATGCCCGGGGAACACACAAGACAGCCTCTGGAGGCTCCCGGTCTGTCTGGGGAGCAGCAGGAGGCTGCACTGCGTCGTGAACTGTTCTCAGGAAGGAGAGGAGTCTGCATGGGGCACACGTTTCTTGAAGGAGTTAAGTGACTGGATTCTACCTGTTTGCTGACCTGTCTAAACACCAGGATGCCTGTGAGAGGGAGACACCAGCACACACTCACAATGTTGCGGGCTGGTGAGTCGACTCTGAATGAGAGGACCCACCCATGGCATTGAACTACCCACGAGATTCCCTGGGCTGTAACCTTTATGGGAGCACACTGAGCTCTTCTCTGAGGGTGTGGCTGATGGGTTCCAACCACCGACCTTTTGGGTAAGCCAAGCGCTTAACCATTGCACCACCTAATTATACAGCACACCTCTTCCACTCAGTGAAGGAGAATTTGCTAACAGTGAAAACTGGATGGGTTCCAAAGATGCTCCTTTATTACCGAGACGCCTAGGGCAGAGCATGTCTGCTTACTTCTACAGTACTGGGCATACTCGGGAAGGAACATCTGAAAGCAGTGAATATTTTACTGAGCTGGTAGTCAGACTGTCCTCTCCATCCCGAAGCGCTTGGCCCCATCTAACCTGTATTTGCCGAGATGGAAAGTAGAGGCTTCCCACCCATTCTTCGTGGCTGACCAGGCACAGGAAAGACGGCTGCACAGTGCAGGAGATGAAAACGTGGAGGGAGGGTGGCCAGCACCAGACCACGCAGATTTGTCTTCTGTGTAAACGACTGAGCTGTGATTCCTCACAAGAGCAACAGAACATACGTGGATGGCTTTGGGTGCAGGGGAGCGACATGGTTACAAGTGTGTAAAAGGTCAGCCCCCGACAGCGACATGGAAGGTGGGCCCAAGAGGAGCAGAGAAGAGATTCTAGTAATGCTGGTGAGAAAGGGTGAGCAGCCTTCTCCAAGCAGCAGAAATGGAAAGACGACGGACAGGGCCAAGCGGTGTCCCCTGGAGCTCAGTGGTGGAGGGACAGTTTTACTATGGCTCTTGTACCCAGTGTCCTGGGTGTTCGTTGCATTGAGAGAGGGGATTGGTCAGTGTTCGTTGCCACCCCCTCGGCTATAATGATGAGCCATCTCTGAAGCAGCACGGAAGGGAGAAAGCTGGCGGACCCTGGAAGAGCACGGTCGAGGTTTCTGTCTGAAGTGGCGGAGGCGAGACGATGCAGCACAGGCTGTGGCCCAGAGGCCCAGAGGAGCGGCAGAGACTCTGAGGCACCCTCTCCTCAGCTGTTCCTAGACGACGAAACTGTGGGAGAAAGTCACAGGCATGCTGGCCTTCTAACCCTTGGAGGCAAAGGCAGGTGTTCATGTGGTTGAGCTGAGGACTGGAGAGACCTGGCTGCCACATGGCTGAGAGGCTGACAATGAGAAGGAGATTGGGCTTCTGGCTGAGACCAGTAACTCTATCCTTACTGTCTGCTAATCCTGACTTGTGGCAACTTATTAACTTCTCTAATAAAAGGTCTTAATTTTAAGTGTTGCCTGTGAGTTGTGTGGCCATTGCAATGAATTATCAAATCCAGCAGCAGGGTGGTGTGGGAGGAAGGGTTGGTGTTAGAATAGGTAAGAAAG